TATACTATATATATATATATATATTTATATGTATACTATATATTTATATATGTATATACATATATATAGTATATATATATTTATGATTTTTATGAAATTTTATGAAGAATTGTTTACCTTGTTGCTTCAAATTTGTTGACATTTTAACATTGACTGTATTTAAGATAGATTTTTAAATGCATCATCTGAATATTATAAATACATAATTATGCTCTTTTTATAGATCATTCGATCTTTTATCGATCTCGAATTTTATATTGTCCACTTTTTTTTTTGTGATAAGTTTACTTGTGGGGTGTCCTGTCTCATGTTTTCATCTTGTGCTTGTGTGTTGTTCTTTGCTGTTTCTGTTTTTGTGCATGTTTGAGACAAATAAATGAAATGAAATGTAATGCGTGGGATTTGGTCTTTAAGCTTGAGAGAGTGAGACACACACCTCGAATGCGTGAGTCTCACGCCGAAAGCGTGAGCCTAGCTTGACGTGTATGCATTTGCTGGGTAGTTTTGTATGCCTAGTATAGGCCTAGTTTACTGACAGACCTGACGGTCATTGCTCCGAGTTCAGTTCAATAGTTCGAGCGGCCAACCTAGGCCTGAGGGCGTGCGAAACAGTGTGGAGTGAATAACCATACACAGGTGACGATAACAAATAGTAAACATGACGTATTAAAAATGTTTTCAGTGCTCTCGCATAATCGAACCATGTCGCCTAATGCAGACCTCTTGTATACATTAAACTCTAGATGTTTTTCCACAAAATATTCTGGTACCGATTGCAAATAATGTGGTTTGTTGCCTATTCAAGTATGAGTAAGCTAACGTCTAACGTAGGTAAACTGACTGTAATGTTCTTGTATATTTCTGGAGACGCTTATATATATATGACAGTACAATTACTTGGGTTCAATGATGTGTTCTTTATTCAGTGCTCACTACAAGTGTGTCTATTATATATCTACATTCAGTATAAGATAATACCAACAGGGTTCTTATCTATAAGACTGTTACAACTTAGTACCGGTAACAGTGCTATTTAAAGATCTAATAGTTTAGTTGACTGACTAATTGTCACTCAATGTCAGATTCTGCTACATGACTGCATTTTCAGTTTCTACAGTCTATGATAGAAGTAATAATAAGAAATATTACATAAGCAAAATTATATTTAAAAAAATATATAATCAAATTTAAGTATGAGAGTGCTACAATTTGCTAGATTTAAAATGTGTTGGATAGGGCCCGTTTTAATTGGTTGCAGCATAATGGACTCAATTTATTTCTAGTAGCTTGAAAGTCGTACTGTGCTTATAGCGGTTCATTCATTCAATTGTGACCTTTACGAACTTTCCCAGCGATCGATCGATTAATATCAGCATTCATGCAAATAAAATTAATTTAGGTATATACTACAATACGAACAGTAGGCCTACGAATTTAATAATAATAATACTAATAGTAATAATAATAATAATAATAATTATAATTATTATTATTATTATCATTATTATTATTATCATTATTAATTTTATTATTATTATTATTATTAATTTTATATCATCTATATAGCGCCTTTTCTTTGTAGATACAAAGTGCTTCTTCTTCTTCTTCTTCTTCTTCTTCTTCTTCTTCTTCTTCTTCTTTTAATAATAAATGAAGTTGAAATTACAAAAGAAAAGTCGTGAAAAGGTATGAAGTAAAAAAAAAAACACGGAAAACCAATATAATTTTAATGAAGTGGAAAAATTGAAGTGGGAAAAAAAGAAGGAAACAAACCGGTAGATTTAAAATGTGTTGGATAGGGCCCGTTTTAATTGGTTGCAGCATAATGGACTCAATTTATTTCTAGTAGCTTGAAAGTCGTACTGTGCTTATAGCGGTTCATTCATTCAATTGTGACCTTTACGAACTTTCCCAGCGATCGATCGATTAATATCAGCATTCATGCAAATAAAATTAATTTAGGTATATACTACAATACGAACAGTAGGCCTACGAATTTAATAATAATAATACGAAGTGGGAAAAAAAGAAGGAAACAAACCGGTAGATTTAAAATGTGTTGGATAGGGCCCGTTTTAATTGGTTGCAGCATAATGGACTCAATTTATTTCTAGTAGCTTGAAAGTCGTAATGTGCTTATAGCGGTTCATTCATTCAATTGTGACCTTTACGAACTTTCCCAGCGATCGATCGATTAATATCAGCATTCATGCAAATAAAATTAATTTAGGTATATACTACAATATAACAGTAGGCCTACGAATTTAATAATAATAATAATAATAATTATTATTATTATTATTATTATTATTATTATTATTATTATCATTATTATTATCATTATTAATTTTATTATTATTATTATTATTAATTTTATATCATCTATATAGCGCCTTTTCTTTGTAGATACAAAGTGCTTCTTCTTCTTCTTCTTCTTCTTCTTCTTCTTCTTCTTCTTCTTCTAATAATAATAATAATAATAATAATAATAATAATAATAATAATAATAATAATAACTAGACTTACTATGTCTGTTTGAACCACAGAACATAAGGCTTTTCCCTATTACTCTAATGAGAAATGAAGTTGAAATTACAAAAGAAAAGTCGTGAAAAGGTATGAAGTAAAAAAAAAACACGGAAAACCAATATAATTTTAATGAAGTGGAAAAATTGAAGTGGGAAAAAAAGAAGGAAACAAACCGGTAACCAAATTCACTGCGACGTTATTAGTGAGGCTTGAACTATGGTTTCAATGGTAATAGCGAGGTAAATCGTGACCCATAACCATTGCGCGCTATATGGGCCGACCTTGAATAAGAAAGTGCATTTTCAGTTCATAGCGATTCAATTACTGAAAGCAAAAATTGTTTATGCATATCACGGTAGTTTTAAGTTTACAAAGTATTATAGATTGAATGTTTCTTTTAGACGCAATGGTTTTTTTTAAAGAGATATTTAGATCTGGATCCTCAAAAATTGAAAAAAACCTCAAATTTTCACCCTTCAATAGGTCTTTACTAACACATAACAATTTCTAACTTGATTAAACTTTCTCCCAAGTTTCATTCAGATCAACTGACCGGTTTTTGAAATATCCGTTGTAGACAGTTTGACCTTAAATCACTGTAATTGGTCATCACACGCACACCCCACCATAGATTGACACTAAATATTAGGAGGTACATCCTTGATATATGGCCTATGCTTCGGCAAAGCACGGAAAAATTCTAAGCATGGAAGTGACCAAAGTGACGGCCAGAAAAAAAACAGTGCAAAAAGATAGGAAAAATATATGCAAGAAAAAAGGTAAAAAAATCAGAACAAAAACGATGGCTTTTCCCAGTAGGCCCCTACTGCTGGGAAAAGCCAATAATAATAATAAATCATGATAGAGGTAAATCAGAACCGTCTTGCAGTATGCAGACGCCTTAACCAACTACAGTAGGCCATTAAGGCTTTATTGGAAATTCAAATCCGACTAAACACTTCATTCCTCCCACTCCTATGCTGCCCTGCTCTGAGAAAAGCCATTAAGTACATTTTTTTCAAAATTGAGATTTTTAGCTTATGTGACTCCTGAATGTCTAATCTATCACCCTATTTTATCAAATTTCCAAAAATATGTCTGAAAATATGAAATTATATTTTAAAATTGAGAATTATCTGCAAATTTCACTATAAATACTCTGAGAAAAGGCATTATGTGCGAAACCTTACATGCATGCATTGAACGCTTGACTTCACGCAAGACAGATAGTACGTAACCAATCACATGCTAGTATAACGAATATCTAATTAACTAGCTTGGAATCCTTAGCAGATAATACCTAATTAGTAACTGCTTTATTTCGAAGAATACTCGGTGAAAGTGCATTATCTGCTTTGTATTTTACGGCGTTTATTTATAATTCTGCGATTAATGCGATACATTTGCCGAAATGATGCAAGTTACAGCAAGAGACCTTTTTAGAAGTCTTTTGGAAGAGTAAGTACAATATTGTATTTTATTATGTTTCATACCTATTAAGTAGTAAATTTAGATTATTATTATTATTAAGTAGTATTATTTTTTGTTTTATCGACATTATATGTTTTGTGTTGTGTTTATTATTATTATTATTATTATTATTATTATTATTATTATCACTGTTGTTGTTATTATCATCATAATTATTACTCTTTCAGGCAACCAAGTGGTAAACCAAAAATAGACAGACACATTTTCGCCACCGAGGTCATGCTCCACTTCGAGGAAGGCACATTGAGTAATGCAATTGTAAAAGAAAAAGTGTAAATAACTATATAAACAAAAAACTGTGAAAGATCCTGTAAATAACTATTAAAACAGTCGAAACATTGTAAATAAAACCTTCAAAATGTTGTGTACTCATTTGTATAACCTATGTTGTTATTGTATCATTATCATTGTAAAGATAATAGTTGCAATGTATATTATAACTTAATAAATATAAATCGATAATGATGATGATGATGATGATGATGATGATGATGATGATGATGATGATGATGATGATGATGATGATGATGATGATGATGACGATGTGGATGATGACGATTAGGAGGACGAAGAGATTTAAAAATATGACATGCTAGTTACCGAACCATAAAATAAGTTTAAAATATTTTCACTCTATTTTACCTCATCCGTCCTCCTCACAACACCGGCTCCTTCCCCTCCCCTCACCGCATTTTCATCATGATACACAATTAAATTCCGCATTTTATAATGCCAGAGTATACTAGCCATACTAGCCAGGGATTGACAGGATTGACAGTATCAATGTTGAACTACTGAGGGCAGACATAGACACCACAGTACTAATTTTACACGAGTTTTTTTTTTACAGAAGTATGGCACAAAGAAATGGTGCCAGAAGATTGGAAGAAGGGACTTATCATAAAGCTCGCAAAGAAAGGAGACCTGACAAGTTGCGGCAACTGGAGAGGGATCACATTGATATCAGTTGTAGCAAAGGTTATGGGCAGAGTGATAATTAAAAGGATTGCACGAGGAGTTGACAAGAAACTGAGAAGCGAGCAAGCAGCTTTTCGCAGAGGAAAAAGCACAACACAGCAGATATTTGTCCTGAGAAACATTGTAGAGCAGGCAATGGAATGGAATGCCAACATATACACTTCTTGTTAACATGGGCCAATTTCCTCTAAAAATTGCACATTTTAGGGAGTTTTGATCAATTTCAACGAAATTAGAATTAAAAACACCGAGAGACAAGGGGAAAATATCCATCTTTGGAAAATCTTTCCCCACCCCTTGACAAATGCATCCTCTGAAAGTGCCTAAAATTCTCAAATTCGTTGCGCGCATTTCTTGTTACGGTAGGCCAATTTCCTCTATAAATTGCACATTTTATGGAGTTTTCATCAATTCCGACGAAATTAGAATTAAAAACACAAAAATAGTTTGCATTTTTAGGGCTTTTTTAGGTTTATCCTTTTAAGTTATTTAAACACATAATAGTCCCAAACTCAAGAAAGACAAATTTAAGATAGATCATTTTAACCTAAAAAGGGCCTCAATGTGTATTGATGGTGAAAGAATATGTTTGTAATAAATAAAACCAGGATGAAAAGGCTTATATTTAGTTCCAAACACGTGTGTGGCCTATATTATAAATAAGATAAGCCCTATGTCATATTGTTTTCTATAGGCCTATGGGGAGTGGGGTGGGGTGGATATGGTAAATTACTAACCGGGAATAAATACCCACTCTGACCCAAGACCCCTGTTACGCGCCTGGTGTTAGCGCCAATGTGTGCCCTTGTGCGGACAGGGGATGTGCCCCCCCCCCCCACATTCTGAAGCTGGAAACCTTGTTTTTGCAAAATAAATTAATGCAATTTGCTATTATAGGCCTAATCAATAAATTCCTCATCAACCGATATAACCTTAAACATTCTTGGAATTGACATAACATTACTGATGTCGTACACACCCTTCAGAGTGAAATGTGACTCTCTTTGCAAGCACATCTAACATCTAAGGAAAGCTAAGAAGAGCTTAGATTGGTACCAGATAAAATACTTTTGTTATCAACATTAATACATTATGCTAATTTTGATCTTTGTAAGCGCATAAGACAGTGCAAATTATTTCTGTGACAGTCTTTTGAAGTGTGTAAAGCTCCATTATATCCCATACATAGTCAAAATAATGGGGGTCTCTTATACACATCTAGATGTGTATAAGAGACAGGAGGAAGGGACATTGAGTAATGCAATTGTGAAAGAAAAAGTGTCCAAAGTTAATCAAAGTGGTCAAGACAATGTATGATGGAATGGAAGTGGAAGAACAAATTGGTTTGAGGTAACATCAGGAGTAAAGCAAGATTGTAATATGTCAGGATTCCTCTTCCTACTTGTCATTGATTGGGTGATGCAGAAGACGGTATCAGTTGGGATCATATGGAACTTTATGGAGCAATAAGATGACCTAGACTTCGTAGACGATATTGCCCTACTATCATACACAAGAAGACAGATGCAAGACAAACTCAATCATTTGAATGAACATGCAAAATCAACTGGGCTGAAAATTAACATGAACAAAACTAAAGTGATGAGATTGAATGAAAAAAGTAGAGAGGCAATTACCATAGAGGAGAAGGAAATTGAGGATGTTGTAAAGTTCACATACCTTGGAGCGACAGTCAGCATAACTGGTGGTGCAGGAGAGGATATGAGGCAAAGGATTGGAAAAGCCTGGGGTGCATTTAACAAGCTGTCTAAGATATGGAGGAGTGGACAATTAACACACAGAATCAAATTCAAAATGTTCAAGTCCAATGTGATCAGTGTTTTATTGTATAGATGTGAAGCGTGGAAGATGACTAAAGGTAATGAGGATAGACTAGACACCTTTTTACATAAGGCACTGAAAAAAAGAATATTGAAAACACGTTGGCCAATACGGATTACAAATGCAGAAATCAGACAAAGGGCAAACATTCAAACCATTAGTGAAATAGTAAGAAACAGGAGATGGAAATGGATTGGACATGTGATATGCATGGAAAGAAATGACATACCAAGAGTTGCTTTAACATGGACACCAGGGGGCAGAAGGCATGTGGGAATGCCAAGGGGAAATTGGAGAAGGAAAGGAACCAACAGGGATACCGATCGTAGGCAGAGGCAGCAGTAGCAGCTCAAGATAGAGGAGCCTGGAGGAGGAGAGATGCTAGAAGCCCTATACTCCACTCGGAGACAAGGAACTAGATGATACTAGCCATGATACTAGCCTTCAATTTTTACACTAACCTTTGAATTTCATACATTTACTTCGGGTTTTTTAAAAAATTAAATAGATGATTTTGCTGTTTCAACTATTTTATTATTTTTTAATACTAGTTTTCACTTTTTTTGGAGCAAGATTTTTATAAAATATATGTTATAAATCTATAGATTAAATTTCATATACATACATTTCAATAAATTACCGTAATTATTAATGCATGTTTATAAACACTTTTGCAGATAATGCCCGATTTCAAAAGTATTTATCTACATTCCTAGTTATAAATACTTTGGGAAAAAAAGGCATTATCTCCATTTTGGCCCCCTTAATAATAAAATTAATCAATGAAAGGTATGTGGCAATTTTTTAAATAATATATCTAAGAAAACCATAGTTTAAAAAATTTGAAATAATTTTTACTTTTCTTAGGAAAAACTCAAACGCGTTTTGCTCATTTAGGCTACTCAAAACTATGATTTTGTTACTTAATGCCTTTTCTCAGAGCAGAGCAATATGTGCAGACCGGGAGCCCAGAAAATTTAATCATGTGAAAAGAGACAAAAGGTTTGATGGTCTGGTCATGATAGTATAGGGCCAAGATACGATATTCAGTATTGCTGCCGGGGCGCATCCTGTACAAGCTGGCTGGGGGAAATGAAAAAGGGGCTTAAATAATACATTTAATTATGTGGAGAGAGACATGGATAAAAATAATTGGATATTACTCCCAGGTAGATACTTGCAATAATGTCACAGGTGACAGCAACTTTTACCTGTACGTGACCTTAAACAGTGACATTAAAGGCCACGCTCAAATACATTTAATCATGTGAAGAAAGACACGGATGAATTTTTTTTTATTGGAACTATTATACATTGGGGGTAACAAAAATACCAATGACAGCAACTTTATCCTGTACATAAGCCCAGACAGCAGCCCCAAGGGACCCACAGGGGTCTTATATAGTAGCAACATGATAAAATCAAGCAAAGAGAGACATGAATGTAACCAACTAGGAATTACTACTTGTACATTGTAGAATGCTGAAACACCGATGACAGCAATTTTTTCATGTACCTGACCCTAAACAGTGACATTAAAGGCCACGCCCAAATACATTTAATCATGTGAAGAGAGACACGGATGATTTTTTTTTATTGGAACTATTATACATTGGGGGTAAGAAAAATACCAATGACAGCAACTTTACACAGACAGTGGTTCTGGAGATCAGCTTCACAATAAAACAGGAATTAAGTGAAGGATGGGACCATTTACACTGGAATAAAGTGCTACCAAGTTCTAATCCTATGATTACATATTTTTCAACAATCTGATTGAAATACACCTTGACGCTGTACCATTTATCATAGACAATTCATGTTCTGTGGTTTAATCCGATCTAATAAATATTTGTTACTGAGTTTGTATTCTATTATGGTATTGTTGTATTTCATCTGAAGTCAGTGTTTAACAAAATTGTATTATCAAACGGTAATCTATAGCTAAAGTAGTAAATAGCTGCTGTCAATTGGATTTTCTTTCCAATGTTTAAAAGTTCCAGTGTAAATGATCCCATCTTTCACTTAATTCCGGTCTTATTCTGAAGTTGATCTCCAGAACCACTGTCTGTGTCATAATCAGGTGTTTCAGTTGCATTCTACTATCTCTATTCATTATTAGATTCGACCATATCATACTATAAATAATAAGTCCATTTAGCGCCACTCTTATGGAATAACCTTCCAGTGCACATTTGATCTTCACCATCTGTGGCTGTCTTTAGGTCTAACTCAAAGACTCATCTCTTTAACTAATTATCCCATTTTTATTCTTATTTTTATTTTTATTGTTGCATTATTTACTCATGTTTACAAGCTTTGTTACTGCTTCTTTTGAATTGTTTACTTGTTCTGTGCTTGGGTTGGGCAATGATCACGACTACTTGTGGGTTGTGAGGTGCCTATAAATATGTGGGGTGCAGTGCTTCGTATCTGCAAAGAAAGGCGCTTTACAAATGATTGGATTGGATTTGGGAACCTAGGGCTGCTGTCTGGGCTTATGTACAAGAAAAGTTGCTGTCATTGGTATTTATGTTACCCCCAATGTATAATAGTGCCAATAAAAAAAAAATCATCCATGTCTCTCTTCACATGATTAATGTCATTTGGGCGTGGCCATTAATGTCACTGTTTAGGGTTAGGTACATGAAAAAATTGTTGTCATCGGTGTTTCAGCATTCTACAATGTACAAGTAGTAATTCCTAGTTGGTTTCATTCATGTCTCTCTTTGCTTGATTTTATCATGTTGCTACTATATAAGACCCCCGTGGGTCCCTTGGGGCTGTTGTCTGGGCTTATGTACAGGATAAAGTTGCTGTCATTGGTATTTTTCTTACCCCCAATGTATAATAGTTCCAATAAAAAGAAATTTATCCCTGTCTCTCTTCACATGATTAAATGTATTTTGGCGTGGCCTTTAATGTTACCTGTCTCTTATACACATCTAGATGTGTATAAGAGACAGGCGTTTATTTGTTTATATTTACTAATGTAGAAAAATTAAAGTAGTGTCATATGAAATTTCAGCCCTGAAACCTAGACTCAGAAATACCGGGATGGTGTCCGGCGGGGGATAGTTTAACCTTTATTTAAAAATATATCTTGTTTGTACTTTGTATTGAAATGCTAAAATGTACAATAACTCGGTTTTCAATTTCATAAGCATTTATTTGTTTATATTTACTAATGTAGAAAAATAAAAGTAAATTTATCCCTGTCTCTCTTCACATGATTAAATGTATTTTGGCGTGGCCTTTAATGTTACTGTTTAGGGTCACGTACATGCAAAAATTGCTGTCATCGGTGTTTCAGCATTCTACAATGTACAGGTAGTAATTCCTAGTTGGTTTCATTCATGTCTCTCTTTGCCTGATTTTATCATGTTGCTACTATATAAGACCCCCGTGGGTCCCTTGGGGCTGCTGTCTGGGCTTA